AATAATTATGACTCATTTGGTTGGTTTAAGTGAAAATAATGAATGTGAATTATTAACAAGAACTTAATGAAATTGAAGTTCACTAATTTAAAACTCCATTAAACACCTCATATTTTGGTTATTTTTAAATTTTTAAAGGAAATAAAATATAATTTACTTTATCTAAATTATACTTTTTATAATTATCTGAAAAGGAGAATCTCCTCTTTTTTTAATAATTAAAGAAGTGCAGTATGCTCTGCAAGACTTCCACATTCTCTTCACAAAACAATCTTTTAAGGTAGATTTTAAAAAAAAAAAAAAATTCACAGTCAGGGGCTGTTTCGTAATTTCAAAAGAATAGAAGAGTACAGAGAAAATGAAACGTAGTGGTAGCCCGAATTTCATCTGGTGGGCCCACTGTGGCGAGAGGCGCTACCAGACGTCGGTGTTGTCTTGTCCGACACATTTATTATTATTTTTCCTATACTCTTTTCAAAAAGAAAACAAAATTTAAAAAATAAAATAAATAAATAATCCAAAAGACTTTTTTCTGTTTTCCCACCTGATTTTCCCGCCACAGAGAAGCAACGGCAGCCGTGGATTTGAGATAATGAGCGGCTGTAGCCGTCGGATCATTTCGACGTGAATCCAGCCGTCCGATTGGAACGTCTTTAGCGGACATTGTTTGCATAACATGTGTAATCATCACAAAGTTGAAAGATGAGTGGACCTTTTTAGACACCTCGGCATAAAGCGGACTAAAGAAAAATATCCCCACAAATTTAATAAAGGGACCCAACTTTTATCCTCTGTTACCAATCACCATGCAAACATAAAAAATATACACTAATCACAGCCGTTCGCTACTCATCAAATCTAAGCAAAAAGAGGTTTCTGCCCAAAAAAGAGAGAGAAAGAGATTCACCCTATCTTACGCTTTACCAAAAAAAAAAAAAAAAAAAGAGAGGTGTTTTTTTAGTACGAAATGTATTTTGTTTGTGTAGTTTGATTGTTAAATTATTTAAATATTTTTAATGATATTATTCTTTATGTTAATTTGTTAATAATATTTTTATAATTTCAATACTCAGGATATAAAAGGTTATATTAAAACATAAATTTCTCTATACATTATAAAAAGGTGTTAAATAATTTAGATTATGTGAAAACTACGCAAGTATAATTATTAAATGAAAGTGGGTTCTTTAATATTGAAAGTTTTATTTTTTATTTAATAATCTTTATTTTACAATTTGATACAATTTAAACAATCAAACAAGATATTTATATATTACATACTCTATATTTTATTTATAAAAATTTTTTATTTTGTAATTCAATCTATAAAATAAAAATAATTAGATATAAAATGATTTTAATATTAAAATTTTATTCTTTATCTATTAATTTATGTTATACAATTGAGAGTTGACAATATTTTTTTCTTAATATATTGTAAAAAAGGGTATGCCTATTTGGTCTAGATAAAATAAAAGCCGTAATTGGCTTTTGTTTGGATCCCCTCACCAAACTGAGCCTTGGCAATGGCAATATAAGGAGTTCGTCTGTTTTAATTTAACTTTGAAAGAGTGGGATGAAAAAGGGTTGTGTGGTTGCAATTAGGGGTGGGCAAAAATTGGTTTTATTTAAAATCGAAACCGTTTTTAAAATAATCAATTTTTTTTTTTAATTTTGAGAATTAAAAT